GTGGGCTTTGTTGCTTCTCAGCTAGATGGCTGCTTGTTTATCTTCAAGCCTTTAAGACCTCAGATGCTATATCTTTTGATAGCCAGGCACCATCAGCTTTCTTCACCACATTTGCTTATGCAGCTGCTTTGTCTTCAGTGATTGTTATCTGGAAGGTGGGCATCATGGAATGCCAGTTTAATAGAACAAAGTGTTCTTGCATTTATAATAGAATTTTATCTACTAACTAAAAAAGATTACAAGACAGAAAAAGCAATAATTTGACAAATAGTTACTTCTTAAGGTTTAGAAACTATTTCCCGTTTTAACACAACTTAATTATAATGACAATCTTCCTTATCACTCTGTTTTCCAGTTTTGCAGATTCCGTCTGTTAGCAGAAACGTTTCCACAAAAGGTCTGGAAAAATCAAAGCAATCTGAAAACACTGATTGTTTTACAGGTAATTAAAATGGGACAATCATAATTTTCAGAAAATTTTGCAGTTAGTTTTTATCTTGGCCTTTTGGTAAATGGTTTGTTTGTCTCTGCAGAATTAAGTGTAATGAATAAAATAAAGAAGAATAAACTATCAAAAGCAGTTTATTTGATGCAGAAAGCTCTTTTAATATTTGAGAAAGATGCAACCTGTACATCTTCACGTGACTGTTTGATGGTAATGATGTTTCCTTTCTTCTTTTCATCCTGCCTAACAAGTTCTTTACAATGAATGATTTATTTCCCTTTGTTAATAATCATGTGTTGCCCTCAACATTAGAATATGAACTTTCTGGTTCACTGTATGCAGTCTTCTCTTTGAGAAGGAAAACAGCTCTGAATAGGGGAATTTAACAGAGGTCTAAATCTGGCCTCTCTTGAAATGTAGCATGGCATTCTCTCTCCACAGGGGCACCTGATGAGTGGAACCACATAAAAGCAGAGAGACTCAAAATGAGGGGCGGTGCAGAATTTAAGTGTTAGTGGGCTAGTGTAATTAACGCAGTTATTTCTATGGAATTAAAATGCCTTAATTCCAATAGCTAAGATTTCTTCTCCCTCATACGGGTACTGCTAGTATATGGACCTGTCCCTTTCCTGCTTAATTATATTTGTTTAAATTTATTGATACGCTTAATCCAGTCTTACTTTGGCCTAGAAATCGTTCTTTCTCCTTACTAAAGTGCTGCAGGTTGATTTTAGAGTGTAACTATCAGAGGGAAAGCACATTTTCAGATTGTGGAGTCTTCTGGAAACTTTGATTGCAGTGGGTTGAGGAATGAATGGCTCATAAGTAGGTGCTG